CCTTGGGACTCTGCGGGTTCCTAGCACAACAGGCACCATAGGAGTTTCCCAGGGATTTGAAGGTTCTGTTGGGCAAGCGCATTACATGTAGAACCCACAGGAAGAATCCATTAAAGGCAGAAATTTGGAAGGCACCACTTCCATTAAGTTAATAGCCAACCAGGAAAAGTTGGATGATTTGAAAATCTACCTCGAAGGTAACTGCTAAGCTGAATCCCCTCCCCTCAACTACTCCTCACAGTGCCCCTTGCATCCCAGGCCTGGACCACTGACAACCAGCAGAGTTGGCACTTTATGTTGAGGTTGTAAGGACATTGGCGAGGCCTCTTCTGAGGTACTGTGTGCAACTATGGTCGCCCTGTTATAGGGAAGATATTATCAAGCTAGAGAGGGTTCTTTTTTTTTTCCTTTATTCATTCACGGGATGAGGGCATCACTTGCTAGGCCAGCATTTATTGCCCAGAGGGCAGTTATGAGCCAACCACATTGCTGTGGGTCTGGAGTCACATGTAGGCCAGACCCAGATAAGGATGGCAGTTTCCTTCCCTAAACACATTAGTGAACCAAATGGGGTTTTCTAACAACCAGCAATAGATTCATGGTCATTGTTAAATTCTTAATTCCAGATATTTATTGAATTCAAATTCCACCAGCAGCCATGGTGGGATTTGAACCCAGGTCCCCAGAACATTACCTGGGTCTCTGGATTAATCGTTCAGCGATAGTACCACTAGGCCATTGCCTCCCCATTCAGAAACGGTTCACCAAAAGTTGCCAGGAATGGAGGGTTTGAGTTATAAAAAGAGGCTGGATAGGCTGGGAATTTTTTCACTGGAGCATGGAAGGTCAAAGGGTGCCCTTATAGAAGTTTTTAAAGTCATGAGGCGTATAAATAAGGTAAATGGCAGGTGTCTTTTCCCTAGGGTGGGGGATTTCAAGACAAGGGGGCATATTTTTAAGGTGAGAGGAGAAAGATTTTAAAAAAAGACATGGGGGCAACTTTGTTACATGAGTGGTTTGTATTTGAAATGAACTTCCAGAGGAAGTGGTGGATGCAGATACAACTACAACATTTAAAGCACATTTAGATAAGTGCATGAATAAGAAATGTTTGGAGGGATATGGGCCAAACACAGGCAAGTGGGATGATGTTAGTTTGTGACTTTGGTCAGCATGGACTGGTTGGACCTAAGGGTCTGTTTCTTTACTGTCTGACTCTATGACTCTATAAGGCTGCCCCCTCCCTTAGCAGGCTTGTCACCACTGGCCCCAAAATCCAACCTGGCCACTGTGGCCTCTATCCACCATCACCTCCCCCCCACATCCAACCTCCACTCCCCTACCAGCCCTGACTACATCCTTTGCACATCCCAGCCGGCCCCAACACTTCCCTCCCCCCCCACCCCGGCCAAATCAAACCATAACATGCTCCTCACTGGCTACCACTGGCCCCACCAGATCCACCCTCACTTAGGCTGAGGACCCCATCGCTTACCTCGTACACTGTACACCTGGTACCTACCTACCTGACTGTTAAATGACTGTCGCTAATCCCATACTTACCCTTCTCCAGCAGCTCTCATAGTGTCTTGCTGTGCTGCTGGACATCTTAACTCTCTAAACCTAGCTCACTGACTGACAATGCTACACTACAGGTGAATTATTTGGGATCAGAATTCCTGGATAGAAATGTAGAGCTCAGCACTAACGTTAAAAAAAAGAATTGGAATAGCAATCTGACTATGATTGCTAGATCTCAGAATATGCTGAACAATATTTGTTCGCCTGACTCAGTGTCATATTTTGTTTTAACAAGGTGTACAGCTGGATGAACACAGCAGGCCGAGCAGCATCAGAGGAGCAGGAAAGCTGACGTTTCGGGCCTAGACCATTTCTGAAGAAGAGTCTAGGCCCGAAACGTCAGCGTTCCTGCTCCTCTGATGTTGCTCGGCCTGCTGTGTTCATCGAGCTCTACACCTTGTTATCTCAGATTCTCCAGCATCTGTAGTTCCTACTATCTCTGAATCATATTTTGTTTTGTAATGTTCCTGTGAAATGCCTTGGGGGCATTTTGGTAAAATGAACATGCTGCGTAAATATAAGTTGTTGTTGTTTTATAAAACCATAAATTGATCTATCGGGTGGTTTAAGTGAGAAAAGAAAATCGGAAGGAAGTGTTAACACATTGAAAAGCTATTTTTCATCACTTCCAGCTGTGTTTTGACATTGTGGAGACAAAACAAAGCAGAACTCGTCTGCTCAAGCTCCAATCACATAAGTGAAAGAATTGTACACAGATTGTGATGCATCCCGGTACTTAAATACCAGCACAGTTTTTCCCTCATGCTAAAAGTTTTGATTGAAACATTGGTCCAAATATGTTTTTTTCCCAGGCTGTGTGCATAAGGATGGGAGAATTCCCAACTCCATGACCAGACTTTTTTTTTAAAGTGGCTGCCTAAGCATTCCATCTTCACTGCAGGGGCCACAGGCTGCATTGCAGATTGAGAGAGGTGATCCCGGAATACCTGACGAGAATGTCCAGGGTGTAGGCAAAATGCATGACAAGACTGTCCTGGGATTCTGGCACCGTGCTATAAACTTAAAAATAAAGTTTAAAGCACAAGCCATTCCTCCTGTCATTATTGCTCACTTTCCATGCCCTACACTTTGCAGTCGAAGGCACATAATACCCTGTCCCTAACCCCATGGCCTGAGATGTCCTCTAAGTCGCATAATGCTCTGTACTCCAAACCTCTTGGCCTGCCATACATCCATGTCGAGCCATGCCTCTGCATCCACCATCTTGCCCTGAATAGCATCTAGTCCAATTTAATACCAATTCCTGTAGAACCAAACCAACCTACACCCCCCACTTATACATCACTTAGCACCTGTACTTTCTGTGCCAACTCACCCAGTGTCCACCATCCGTAGACCATGGGACCCATGCACAGATTAAAAAAAAAATTAAAGTTCAGTTCAATAAAGTAAGGGAAAGATGGGTATTATTGATAATATCATTGGATTAGTAGTTCAGAGGTGCAGGTTAATGACCTGGGAATGGATTAAAATCACACCACAGCAGCTTGTTTCATTTCAAATAATGCAAACTGGAGTTGAAAGCTTGACTCAGTAATAGTCACTGTGAAACTGTCATTGATTGTTGTAAAGCGCATTTAGTTCACTAATGTCCTGTGGTGAAGGAAATCTACCCATCTTTGCCTAGTCTTGCCTAAATCTAACTCCAGATCTAAAGTAACATGGTAAAATATCAACCACCCTCCGAAATGGTCAAGCAAGCCACTCAGCTCAAGAGAAATTAGCACGAGCAACAAATACTGACTTTACCAGCAAAGTCCACATTAAATAACATCACCATATCTAGAAAAGACTCTCTTTCACGAAAATGCATTTACAACATTTCAATTCCTTCTTCGTATAAGGGCTTGTAAAAACAAATGTTTCATTCGAGTGAAATAAGCGGTGGAATTCATAGTCCCACATCAAGTTCAAAACCACTTGAAGCTATCAAACTGTAATGGAAGAAAGTTCAATGTAAGAATGGATTCTTGTTCATTCTGCATTAATCCAGTCTAATGGAAATTCTCAAGGTAATGTATTCAAAAAATTAAAACAGAAAGCAATATATTTTGCTTTAACTCTCCAGATTTTTTTTAAAGATTAAAAGAGCTGGAGTTTTAAATGCCTTGACTGCCTTGAAAGGCCCCTTTCACAGCCTAACAATTAGGTTGGGGACCTTTTATGCATAATCGTGGCTACTTTTAACAATCCATAGGGTACATTGCCTCACCCAAAGGGGTTCTTATCTATTCCAAATTCCACCTTATGTCCACCAAAAGGGACCTCCCTCTGAAGGGCACCTTATCTCTGTCAAAAGGCAGATTACCATCCTTCTGACATTCAGACTCCAGGTCTTACACCTCCAAAAGTGTACCCCAGCAATGAGATCTGCACTCACTTGGTCTAATCTACACTATTTCAGTTTAAGACACCGCCTCACTACAGTAACACAGAGGAAGGAGCAGCTTATGATTTACGTGATCAGTGACCTCCAAACCAAACACTACCATGCATAAATTTAACTCCATTCATACTCCCGCAAAAATGGACAATGCCATTGTTGGTGGGTCTTATGATTTCAGAAAATTTCTGCTAACTTTGATATTGGAGAGCCTATCTGATCTAGCAATAATCAGGCCATAGTTTTCAGTATATGAGAAGTGTTACTGCCTTTGAGAAGCGCAATTATTTTCTAACAAACTGTAGCAATGTACTACACTAACAATTACAGTGACAGCCTGATCTCAACCTGACTACGGGCCGTGATTGGTTCAGAAGTGATTTTCCCTGTCCATTTGCTGCTGCCGGTTAATGATCCATGCTGGTAAACATTAACTGAGGACAGGATCAGATTCAGCTTTACTAAACTGCCCAAAACTCACCTGTAAAACTCACATCTGAAAGAATTCTATTGGATAAAGTTGTAGCAGTTGAGCACCACCATTGAGAGAAACATCTTTGGGAAGGGAGCCATTGCAAATTTCCTCCAGAAAATTGCAAAATATTAATCTGTCATAGAATGCTTTATGGCATTATCTGTTTTAACAGCTGTTTGTTTGATGAAAGGATTAGAGATAAAATCAACTTAGTTTTCTTTTTAATTAGCTCCTTCTACTTTTGTTGTGTGAGGAAATGTTAACACTGCTATTTAGAAGTAGCTTAATGTTATTATTTGTGTGTGATTTTTAGAAGTGCTTTTGTTTTCTTTGGGTTTGCAAACTTCAGGGAACAGGAAGTAAGTAACACCCGAATGTGAGATGGCATTCTGACTATGTGCTGTCTGTATTTCAGAGGTGAGTGAAGATTGGGTGTGCAGAGCTTTCTGGAGACTTCTCTGAAGCTGCTTTGTTTAATGCAATCTCTCTGCTAGATTGGAATCACTGACTCATTTGTCTTTTGATTGTTGTATCTTCTAGAGCCGAATTCGAAGAATGTGGAATGACACAGTTCGAAAACAGTCTGAATCTTCCTTTATCACAGGAGATATCAACAGCTCAGCATCGCTGAACAGAGGTTAGTCAAATCCAAGGAAGATTTCAGGAATTTTTGCTGGTGCTCAAATAATACGTAGCCAAATAGTGGGCATGGATACAATTTGAACAGTTGTCATTAAGTCTTGCATTCCAAAAAATCATTTCACCATGACCGCTGTGATAAAATTCAACATGATATCCCTGCATGCATATGATATGATTAAAAATGTTTATTTTGAGAACTGTAATGAAATTCAGTGATTAAAGGATTAGTTCAGAAATTAGAAAATGAAATATCTAATTAATTCGTTAACCAGAGGTTATACTAATCCTCAATAAGCAGACATTCGCATCTTATTCTAAATTTATTCAAGGCTTAGATTTCCACTGGCTTGCCTCCATCTCTGCCTTTTCTTCTGCAGAGCATCCAACGTTGCCCAATTAGTTGTCCATGTGAATTAGTAGAAATAAATATTACAATCAATGAAACACTTGATATTTTTGTCTGTTTATCTAACATTTAGTAACGTTTTTAAAAATCTGTTTCTTCTCCATTTGTCAAACACAATATAATCTCTAAATTTACATTAGAAGTCTCGAAACTGAATAACGAATGAGTAGGAGTCTGATCATTTGACAACTGGATATTGACCTTTTTTATAAAACAAAATGTTCTTCACTGCGTACCCTCTTGCTAAATCTTGTGATATACCTTATTTCTCCTCCACCTTTTAATCATGAGTAAATCACTTATTTTACCGAAGGACTGAAATTTCAATTTTCGCTAATTATTTTCCATACATTTCAGCATAATCTAGTCATCGTATACATTTTGATCCTTTTTGTTGCTGAGTTTTTTTTTTACTTTGCAAAGCCCTATCAACCAGTCTCATTTTTTCTTCGCTGTTTTTACTAATCCAGTTGATAGATGGAGATCTTATCAAATTAAATTTCTTTGATCTAAATGTCTCCACGTGAATCAAATGTCCTTTTTAAAGATTCATCCATCTTGACACAGATTATTCCAGCTGGCATTTGTGTCTGCCTTAGCTCCTCTCGATCACTCAAACATGCAAAAGCTACTTCAGGACAAACATCATGTCGCATCAACAATAAGTTGACAGGGTCGTTTGCGCCTATTATTCTATGTTAAAAATTAACATCAGTCTCAACATACAAAAATCCAACTATTACTGAGAAGTTGATTAGAGCTGCTGCTAGATATGGTCCCCATAATTGCATTGACTGATTGAGATGCATTTTAAATTGTCTGAGAGGATTACAGGGAAGGCATTGAGATCTGCCACGGCTCATGCAGCATCCAACAACACTCAAGAAGCTTGACGCCATCCTGGAAAAAGCAGCCCGCTTGATTGGCACCGCATCCAAAAGCATCCACGCCCTCTACCACAGGTGCTCAGTAGCAGCAGTGTGCACTACCTACAAGATGCACTGCAGAAATTCACCAAAAAATCTCAGACACCACCTCCCAAACCCACGACCACTTCCATCCAGAAGGGGAAGGGCAGCAGACATCTGGGAACACCACCACCTCCAAGTTCCCCTCCAAGCCACTCACCATCCTGACTTGGAAATATATCGCTGTTCCTCCACTGTTGCTGCGTCAAAATCCTGGAATTCCCTCCCTAATAACATTGTAGGTCAACCCACAGCAGCTGGACTGCTGTGGTTCAAGGCAGCAGTTCACCACCACCTTCTCAAGGGCGACTAGGGATGGGCAAGAAATGCTGGCCAGCCAGCAACATCCACATCCCACAAATGATTTTTTTTTTTAAATTCAGCACTTCTTGTAAAGCTGGAATGCACTGTCTGGGAGTCTAGTTAAGATGAGAAGCCTCAGAACCTTTAAAAAGTAATTGAATGAGCACTTGAAATGTCATAACATTCAAAGAAAGAGACCAAGTGCTGGAAAATAGATAAGTGTAGATTTAGAATATTTTTCAGTGCAGACTCAAAACGGGCTGAAGGGCCACTTCTATACTCTATGATTCTGTGTATAATTCCTTCAGTACAAGGAGGTGGAGAGGGAAACACAAGTTAATATTGCAGCAATACTGATCCAGTCTTCTGTTTCTGGAGCTTGAGGTTGTACTCCAAAATAAATTTGAACTGCCAGACTGTTAATGTACAGGCTGTACAGTGCAGGTTTTGGAGCGTGCACTAATCCCAGAGTAAACCCAGATGTACTGTTTGTACTGCCAAGCAAGAAGTTCAGTTGATTGCAGCTTCTTTCACCAAAGCAGCTTACCTGGTGGTTTAGTGGTTTGGGTTTGTTGCTTTCACCACTGCGGCCTGGGTTTGATTCCCGCTCCGGGAAGGAGGATTTATTGTTCTTGTACAAACCTTAAAAATTAGCATGAATTCCTGATATTGAAAACACTAAATAGAGCAGCTCTGCCAAACTCAGATGCCAAACATTTAGATGAGCACTTGAAATGTCATAGTGTATAAGGCTACATGCCAAATACTGGAAAGCAGGATTAAAATGGGTGGATGTTACAAAAACATAGTGGGCTGAATGGCCTCTTTCTGTGCCGTACAGTCCTCTGACACTATGACATCAGTGTATATTTGATGCGTTGCTTTGAATAAACAGAAAAACAGACCAGAACATGCCCACGGCATAGATAAACCTTCCATTGATGTGGATATGGGCTAAAACTCTGTTTTCTGTCCTTCATCACTTTCCCATGATGAAAGCGTTAACAGAAGTGTTAGGCTGCCTTCAAATTTTGCTGAAGCAAGTGACTTTTCTCGTTTAAAGTTAAGAACTGGAAACAAATGATTATGTACCACCCTTTACATCTTGACTGACAGGCTATTTTAAAAAATGACCAACTCTAATACCTGAATTTTTTTTAAAATCAGGTCTTTAGACGCATGAGAACTTGCAGATAAACCGTGACTCCTCTTCAGAAAATTGTTAATACATTGGGCTCATCTTTCTTCTCTTAAAACCAGTACTAAGCACTCTCAAAATCTGACCAGGCAAAATTTAGATCAACTTTCCAGACCAATACGTTTGGTCTCCCAGTTATGAAACATGATTTTGTGATTGGACTTCTGGTTAACCCAATGGTAGATATCCCTGACAAGATGTATTATACTTGTTTCAAACCCCTCTTTCATTCCTGTGCATTACTATCATATGTATCCAAAGTTTACGTATTTTAATAAAACAAATAATTGTGGATGCTAGAAATCCGAAACCAAAATTCTGAATAAGTGTCACTGCTGTCTAAACATTAACTTTTCTTTCTCTTCAGAAATGTTTCTAGATCTGCTGCATTTCTCCAGCAATTTCTGTTTTTGTTATATGTTTCAATGTCTATTTAAGACTGACTCTGCATAGGAATTGCAATTAACTAAACTGACTGAGTTAAATGATACAGATAATCGCTATTCCATGACATTATCAGGAGAAATATACTGGACATGTCCACATGGCAGTGAGATAGATTTCCTAGAGAAAGTCAGGAAAGCAGTCATTTTAAGAAGTTTTGAGAAACATTGACAGAGCCTCGATCAGTCCACTTTTAAAGAAGTGTTATGCACAACTTTTGGAGGTAATCCAGATCTTTTTTTGTGTCAAATGTAAATTAACATTTCTGATTTAGAAGGGCCAGGCAAGGAGCATGTAAAGCACTTGGAAAAATGTTCTCCCTCATACTGCAGCCTTAACTCCAAATCCCAATGTCTCCTTGTAATCAATTGATTCAGAGTGAGTTATGGGGAATAAAAACCGAAAGAACTGTGCATGTTGTAAATCGGGAACAAAAACCAAAGTTGCTGAAAAAGCTCAGCAGGTCTGGCAGCACCTGTGGAGAAAAAATCAGAGTTTAACGTTTTGGGTTAACTGAAGCAGTCTGAAAAAGGGTCACCGGACCCAAAATGTTAAACTCTGATTTTTTTTTTTCTTCACAGGTGCTGCCAAACCTGCCGAGTTATGGGGAAGGCTGCTTCCCATTGTTGCCAGCAAGCTGTGTCACATATTGTTCCAACATACAAAAGTGACCTCCCTAAGGATTGTTTGACTGAAAATAAATCTAATTTGCGCATGGGTGGGGTGACCTTAGCTGAGAAAAATGTTAGGCTGTGCTCACCATTTCTGTTTTTGAAACACTGCCAACATCATTGCAAAAGGAAAAGCTGAAACATTTGCAAATGTTTTCAGCCAGAAGTGCCAGGTCGATGATCATCTTGGCCTCCTCCAGAGGTCCCTAGGTTTAAAAGGGGCCTGAGGGACACTTTTTCGCACAGACGATGGTTTATATGTGGAATAAACTTGCAGAGGTAGTAGTAAATGCAGTTACAGTTACAACATTTAAAAGATATTTGGATAGGTACATGAATAGGAAAGGTTTAGAGGGATATGGATCAAATACAGGCAAGCCAAACGAGTTTAGCTTGGGAAACTTGGTCAGCATGGATGAGTTGGTCCAAAGGAAGTGTTTCGATGCTGTATGTCTCGATGACTTTATTTCCAGATAAGGCTGAAGCTCTGGATACTACATGGGCCATGAGCCCTGGGAACATTCTAGCATTGGTGCTGAAGACATGTGTTCCAGAATTAGTCACACCTCTCACCTAGCTGTTCCACAACACTGGCATCTAACTAACAATGTGCAAAATTGTCCAGATATGTCCTGCATGTAAAAAGCACAGTGATCCAACCCAACCTATTTTCAAGCATCATCAAAGTGATGGAAGAATTTTTTTCAACAATGCTATAAAGTGAAATTTATTCAACAATAACCAGCTCACTGCCTGGCCACTTAGCTCCTGATCTCATTATAGCCTTAGTCCAAACATGGACTAAAGAGCAGAACTCAATAAGGGGACGGCTGCCTTGAATTAAGACAGTATTTGATCCTTTGTGGCATCAAGGAGCCCTAGGAAAAACTACAGTGATTGGAAATCATGGGGAATTTTCACCACTGTGTGGAATCATACCTAAAAGACAAAGGACAATAGTTAGAATTCATTCAATATGGAAGGAGGCCATTTAGCCCATTGAGT